ACATCTAAGTCTTCCTTCTTTAACCCTGCCTTTGGAGCAGTGCCACTTCCAGAATTTTCAGGGCCCAGGCCAAGACACACAGATTATTAATCTACTGGAGGTATAAAGGACTGTAGCTATACTAAACTTCCCCTTGCCATGTCTGTTTCCTCACTCCTGCCCTAGTTCACTGCCTTTGCTCTGTGGTATGGCAGTCTCCAGACTGGTCTCCTTATTCCCATTTTCTACTGTTCCCACTTTCACATTCAGCCTGCTCGAGCTATTGGGTAAATTTTATAATTTATTTTACCCAGAATCCTTGAGTAATACCCCACTAACTTTGGAGAGAGGCTGAGGAATAGCAAGTAGCCTTCCTTTCTGTTGCTGGCTTTAGTAGATTCGTGGTGGCTGATTAGAACCTGTGTGGAGGCTCTTTCCAAGGTTCCACAAGTAAGAGCTGCTGGGAGAGATTCGTGACGTCTCTCTTAGAAGCACAAGTATGACACAGTAGCATGCATGCCAGGCATCTGTCAACCCTTTAGACTGAGCTTTCATCCTTGGGTGCATTATTGATTTTATGGTGGCTATAAACCCCTGGACATTATATAAAAAAAATAATAATAATAAAATAAAAATTGAGTGTGTGTGCGCTTCAATGCGCTTTTCTGGAGAGAAGTTTAATAGTATTCTCAGAAGAGTCCACAAATCAAAATAGATTAATGCCCACTTCTTTTTTTTTTTTGGTTTCCTTGTCTGACATTTGAAACCATGTGTAGGCCCTACGCACCTCAGTAGCTGTCTGTCTCTCTGCTGTGAACTGTCACCCACATGGTTCTGCCTGATGGTCGCTGAATGTTTCTTCCTTGTTCACAGACCTTTTTTTCCTTTTCCTTCCTGCTTCTGTAAATTCTTCCTCTTCAAGACAGAGTTCATGTCTTGTTCCTCAGAAACCTCTTTGATCTTTAGCCTGTCTGATTTTCTATCCTTTCTGGACCGAGGACCAGAGAAGTGAGGTCATCCCATCAGAATCACAGTTAGGATGAGAATTCCAGTTTCTTGACTTTCAAAACTGTGCACTCTTCACCATACCACCTGGCTGCTGAATGACGAGAAAGAGTCTTTGTACTATGAGATTTTGGTCTCAGAAAATTCATCCTGGGGATTCTTAGCCTCTTACATTCTTGGCCATAGGAAATTGTTCTGAGCCAGCAGATGGCATGGTGGTTAAGGCACTGGATCCCACACAGCCAACTCTGTGGTTTAAGTCCTGGACCTAGCAGCTTGAAAAACACATGCCCTGCTACCCCTTCACAAAAAAAAAAAAAAAAAAAAAAAAAGGAAGGAAAAGAAAAGAAAAAAGAAAAAGAAATAGAAAGGAAAAGAAAAGTGTTATTGCGTAGAAGTTTGACAGTGTGGTAATAAATTCCAGATGATCCCAAAATAAATCCTCCAAACTAGAGTGAGAGGATTTCTCAAACCTCTTCTCTGAACACTCTCTTTCCTCACGCTTTGTGCCCCAGTCATACCAAACCTCTTGCAGGACCATATATACCCATGCCTTCTTCTCTAGGTAAAAAGCTTTAGTAGGCTGGTGGTGTGGCAATTAAGGTGGCCAAATTCCACTTAGTCAACCACACGGTTCAAGTACTAGGCCTAGTGGCTTGAAAAAAACACCCCATGTGTACGCCCCAAATCCCTAAAAGTGGAAGAGATGGAGGAGAAAGAATTGTAGCATGGTCATCCCCATGGAGGGTGCTTTCTCACTTTCCTTCTCTCTCGCTTCCTTTCCCAGGCAAGCACACACCTCTCTGAAAATTAAAAGAGAGAGAGACTTTAACTCTGCTTAGAACACCCCTACCCACCTTCTTTTGTCTAACTCCCTATATCATCACCCTTGGAGAGGCCGTCCCAGTCCCTGAACCTATCCCAGTACCAGAGACTGGGTTAGGTTCCCTTGCTGTGCATCTGTAACCTTTGGTCCCCATCTATAGCACTCATGAAGGGTGTAGCTCTGTCTCCCCCCTCAGGCTTGGGCCATGCCTGTCTCATTTCACTATATCCCATAGTACAAGCTACTTAGACATCGTGGCTGAATGAGTAAGTACTTAATGTTTACTCAGCGTCCTCCCATGCCTTAATTATCTGTTTGCTTCAGTAACTGATTTTATTTGGCTTGGTCCAGAGGAATATTTATTGCAGGTGGTAGCACAAGAATGGGGCTAAGGCTCAAACCCAAACCTTAGACTCTGCCTAGTGCCCATTTGGACAGAACTCACTGAAGAGTAGACAGCCACTCAGGTCTTCCAGTCCCTCTAACCCTTTCCTTATAAGGAGATCCTGCCTAGATGATGAATCACAGTCCTGACTTTTGGTATTCCCATTTCCTGGCGCTATATATAGTCTTTGATTTCTGGCTGTTGTCACTGCACTAAATTGTATGCTTCCCTAGACTGAACCCCGTGTCTTTTCCTCATCCCCATCCAGAATCGGGCATGGGATCAAGCACATGTCATATGTGAAATCTGCTGAAATCAGTTTCATCTTTACCTTTCATATTACATGGAGTCAGGTTCTATCTAGAGGAAGAATGATAGGGTGAGAAGGAGGCTAGCTTTAGAGTCACTGTTGACCTGGGTTCCAGTCACTGTACTGCCCCTTCATAGCTATGTGACCCTAAACAAGTCATTGACTCACTGAGCCTGTTACTTCATCCTTAAGAAGAGATTAGTATCAGTGCCTTAAGGCTATGTAAATTGTAAATGAGCTCATGCATGTAAAAAACACCTAGGGTAGTTTCTGCTTATAGTAGGTGCTAAGAATTGGTTTTATTTTTCTCCCCTTTTTTTCTATCCACCCATCCTTCTCCCGACATCTCCTGTTTCTTTTTTTTTTTCCTTTATTTATTTACATTCATTTACTGTACATCATTATAGTATACAAAATGAGATTTTTCCATTGAGAATACACTGTATATTGGCTCAATCAAGCACATCAACATGTGTGTTATTGTCAACAAATCCATTTATTGTTTTCTGTATATTATGCCTTTTTTCCCGTCTTTGATTCCCTATCTCACCCTCTGCCATCTCCCACCCTCCTCCCACACTATGTCTGGTATCTATTGTTGCTTTCTATGCCTCCCCCATTTTATTGTTTCACTAAATATCTTAATAAATCTAAGTATTTTCAATAGCAAGCACAGCTGATATGTACATATCCGTGAACACAAGTCTGACTTTAGGCATAAACAAACCTCAGTGAATAGAATGAACATACTATAAAGTGGCACCTAACTAGGGCTATATAGCTTAACTGCAGTCATCAAATAGGTATTTCTAATGCCTTTTTTTTTCTTCTGAAATTTTTTTTTATTAATTTACATTCATTCCCTGAGCATCATCACAACATTCTAAATGTGGTTTCCCATCTAGAATATACTGCATAGTGGCTTAATAATGCATGTTATCATCCATAATATTCCATTTCTACTTTCATATATATGTTTTTTACCCCATGTCTAGCCCTCTGCCCTATTCCACTCTCTTATTACACTATCTCTGCTGTCTACCGTTGTCTTCAATCCCTTTTCCCCCAACATTTCGTTGGTCACACAATATCATAAGTAATCTAACTACTTTCAATAGCAAGATCAGCCGATGGTTTCAAGAAAAGCAGTTTTGAACTGGTAAGGATATTTCTTTGAAACTTAAAGCCTAGAAACAGGTTAGTATTCTGTTCAAATAGTAGGAACATGAATCTATTGATAGCTGAAGACAGGACAAAAATCCTTAAAACCGGACAACAAAGCTTAGAAGAAAAGTAGCAATATTTTAGTCAAGTCATAGAATACTGTTTCATCAGTTCAGTCTCATGTACTTAATCCTTCTTCTGTATCTGTTGAGGTTCGATGTTCCAGATTGAAATCTGGGAAATAATACTCAACTCCAGCTTTTGGCCCTACAATTAAGTTGCCCATTTTCTTAGTTTCTGAACTCTTATTTCTGTGTGTCTGCATTTAATTTTACTGACATAGCACTCCCTTAAGAACTTCTTGGAGATCCGGTCTGGTGCTGGTAAATTCTTTCAGGTTTTGTTTATCTGGGAAAGTTTGTGTCTTTTCTTCCCAAATGAACGATAACCTTGCTGGGTACAGAATTCTCGGTTGAAATTGCTTTTCCCTTAATACTTTGAATACATTTTCCCATTCTCTCCTCGCTTGCATTGTTTCCGATGAGAGGTCTGCCGTTAGTCTGATGGGATACCCTTTGTAGGTAATTTGCCTTTTTTCTCTTGCCAATCTTAGTATCTTGTCTTTGTGACATCTCCTGTTTCTGAGATGTGGAATTCAGATTTTTAGTGGTATACTTTAAACTCTGTTACTTTATTCAACAATAACTGAGTTCCTATTATGTGCTAGCCGAAAGTATATAGACTCAAATGTGAGTTCTCCTAGGAACCAAATCTAGCATTTCTAACGTTCTTTGCATCTTTCCCTGTATTTGAAGGATTTCCAATGTCCAAATAGCTATGATACAGGTAAACTTGGGGAACATGATCTTTTTGTAAATTGGAAACTATCTACATAAGATGTGTCATTAGGTATTATGTGAATTGGGAAATTAAGGGAGGATCTGTGGATTGGGTGAGTCAAGGAAGGCTTCTCAGGAGAGTCCACAAGGCAAAATTGAACCATGAGTATCAGAGTAGGGTTTGAATAGGCAGAGTCAGGGAGAGAGCATTCTGGACCAAGGGAATAGGAGGGTCAGGATATTAAGATAGGGTAGGCACCAAGGATAGGAGGATAACAACAGGGGGCAGACTCATTTAAGGGATGAGATGGGGGAACCTTCAGTGATGGGGAGTGACCACAGGCACTGGGATTGGGAGTTTAGTTCTCTAAGGCCTCTACTTCCAGACTCATCCAGCCTCTCTGTTATTGACTATGTCATTTCTTCTGTGACAGTTTCTATGCCTATGTCCATGATAAGCCATACACTGAAAATATTTCTCTTTCTCTTTAGGCTGTTGTCAGAAGGTGCAGATGTCAACGCAAGGCACAAACTTGGCTGGACGGCACTCATGGTAGCAGCCATCAGCCGAAATGACAGGTGAGAGGTCTCTTTCCATACA